AATACGAATTCTACTAGTCTAACAACTTAATGTTTCTGATTTCTTTGTGGTGTCTCTATCTCTAAGTCTCTAAAGCAAAGGCCACCAATGGTATACGCTTCATCATAGAGTATCTACAGACTGTGCCAACCAGCGGTCGAAGCCCATTCCGCTCGTTGGCTGGGCCGCCTGCGCTGGCTGAACTCGCCTCTGATTGGGAAAATTTTTGTAAAGGAAAAAGTTACTTCAAATGACCTCAGCAACCCCCCATTTCCGGACTACGAGACATTTTTGGGACACCCTGTATATGGAACGCTTTTCGAGGGAGAGGGATAAGATCGTCGTCGAGTTATCCTCAAATGTCTATACCGCTGTTCGACGGAGCGTTGTTTTTAGATAACGCGAAGGAAATTCAAAATATTTATTTAACGTGTGAATACAAAATAGTACGAACGCAATTGTCGACTACGAGCTTGCACTCATCGTGGAACACCATTTTCGCACCGTCTGCCTGTGTTTCAGCCTAAATGTTGCTAATTTGGGAACGTCCGTGTGAAATGCCTGTTCCAAAATGGGGATATTGAACATGGAACGTGGATGATAATTGTACCATTAATCGGAACAACGACCGTTAACCACAATTAAAGCGCGCGACGCGTTCGCAGTAGTCGACCAAATATTTTGCTTTGCAACCTGTCGTTGCAAAACAGTACTTGTGCTAATGAATTTATAAAGAACGATGTTCGAACGCAGAATTTTTACTTCCGCGCTCGTATTGCTCTGGCGATTTTTTATTGCATTCTTTACGCGAACGTTTCGGGGAATGTGTCGCAACTGATCGGTGTTTCGTAATGGGTACTTTTATCTTGCCCTATCCTCTCCCTCCAACCGCGTCGGAACAATAGAAACGAATGCCTCCTAAAACTTTCATGAAAGTCTAGATATTTTAGTGAATCAGAAGCGACGATAAAGGCCCGCTGTTTTACGAGCCATTTTTACTTCTCCTCGTAGTGGACTATGTCGCGCTCTTCCGTCGAAACATTCGCCGCCATTTCGCAGCCCGGGCCGAGCACTATCCGCTATCGTCAAGTTTTGTTGATGATCCCCGTTCGACGGACATGTGTCGCCTAATTGACCCTCGGCAGCCGCCTCGCGCTAATTCCTTCGGCGTCCCGTTCTTTTGCTCTAACGAAGCAATTTACGAATTCTAACGTGCATGGGGAATGACCTAGGGAAACGCGGAACGGACGAGGGTTGAAAAGCCGAGGAAATTCTGGACGGCGGTTGAAAACAGCAGAAAATTCTGCACGGGGGTTGAGAACAGCAGAAAATTGTGGACGGGGGTTGAGAATAGCAGAAAATGCTGGACGAGGGTTTAAAATACCAGGAAATTTAGGACGGGGGTTGAAAATACTAGAAAATTTAAGAGGAGGGTTTAAGGACATCGGAAAATACTGGACGGGGGTTGAAAACGCCAGATAATTCTGAGCGAGGATTGAAAATACCGGAAAATTTGGGACGAGGGTTGAAACTACCAGAAAATTTAAGACGAGGGTTAAAAACACCAGAAAACTTAGGACGAGGATTAAAAACCCCAGAAAATTCTAAACAAGGGTTGAAAATACCAGAAAATTTAGAACGATGGGCGAAAACACTAGAAAACTTAGAACAAGGATTAAAAACACCAGAAAACTTAGGACGAGGATTACAAACATCAGAAAATTTAGAACGAGAGTCGAATGCAGCAGAAAATTCCGAACGCCTCTACGACGCAGCGGAACGAACGACGTCTCCGGAAGCGGCCGGATGACACGCGTCGCGTTTAATTGCCGCCGATGCGGTACTTGTGACAAGGGCAGGTGCTCGAACGTAAGATCGGCTGATTAAGGAGCCGGTCGCCGATATCGAAACGGTACTCACGTCTTGCGCTGACAGAATCCTCGTGGCGGACTGTATGGTGGTGCTTCCGGACTGTGGCCGATGATGCAAGGATTCGGCGGTGTTGTCCCGGGAGCAGACGCTTCTGTACCACGGCAATCCGCTCGAGCTGTCCCGTCTGTTCCGATATTTCCTCCACATGTGCCTGCCGGACAGACCAAAGGGTTATACGGATCACGGCGTTGCCGCAGGAAACTTCAAAGGAGCCAACGTTCCGCCGCTCTTTAAAGAACTTCCTCGCGCGGGGTCGTGGCTAGACGCCGAAAGCGCGAAAGGAAGTTTTCCCCCCAGCCATGGTCGAGCAATCCCTCGGGGTGTCAGCGAATTGATATAGTTAAAAATGAATCGGCCCTTAGCGACGCGACGCCTGGCGTGTTCAGCGAATCAGCGACACCGACGCGTTCTAATTAGTAGTAATTCCTGCGCGCGAATTCGTCCGCCGCGTCGCGCCGCGCCGCGCCGAGCCGGCACGTTCCTGCAGCAACGACGCCAATTATTTCGCTGGGAAATCTGGGAAACGTCCCGTTGTAATCCCGACCCCTCTCCCGACCCCTCTCCAGCCGGCCCGGCAAATAATTTCGCGCGCTTCCGGCGGCGGTTCAACAACTATCGAATAAATTGTTGCCGCGTCTCCCGAATGGACCGACGTAATCCCGAACCGGCCGCCGCAATTTCTGCAATAACGCCGGATTAACCGACGCCAAGGCTGCCGCGAAAATTTCCGGGGGCCGCCGGACACAGAGCTTTTTATCGCTAGGCCGGAATTAACGGCACTTACGCCGGAGTTAATTTCCAAGGATCAGGGGATCGAGCCGCCCTCCCTGCATTGTATCGCCGCAGGCGATCGCGACGATTTCTACGGGAAATCTTGGCGATTCCTCGGATAAAAGAGGACTACTATCCTGCCGATCGATCCAATGAATCGAACGATCGATGGTTCGATAGAGAAGAAGTTCGTACGCGCAGCGTATGTTTCGCAAAAATTAAGATAATGCTACCAATTCCTTGGCTTATCTACTAATTAACGATATGGGGTTGTTTCACGCACAAAGCTGTTGGTCTATCAATCCGTCGTGTACAATAAATATTATTTAAACATTTTTACGAACAAATTTACTGTCAGTTGTTCGTTCTGTCGGATACGATCAAGAAGAAATTGCATTTTGGCAAGACGGTGACCTTAAATTTACAGCGAAAATAATTTACATGTCAGAAAATTTTTTACATATTTAATTTTAACAAATAAATGGTTAAATGAATCTAAATTAAAAAATTTGATACGCCTTGTACGATAAATGTGAAGTGAATTATGCTTGAAAGTAAACAGAAGGCACAGTGACTAGTTACCCGCAGTAACTGGCCCCACTACCCCTAGCATCGAACCAGAAATTCAGCAAAATTGAATTGCCATTATTTTACGCGGACTAAAAGCATTGACGAACATTAAAAATAGATGAACAAGATATTAACTCGACACTATACTCGACGATATTGAAGTGCAAAATTGTAAAAATTGCGTTAAATTCTTATCATTTGCCAATTATTCCGTACATCGTAAACGTAAATGAAAATCGGCTGTTACAAAATATTAATCGCCTCGTAATTACGATGTACAGATCTTAATCGATCGGCAGAATAATAATCGGTAGCACCATCTTCATTGTCGCGAAACATAAACTACACCCTTCTGCTCGTCCGCGTTTCAACCCTTAAAAGGATCGTGGAGCGAACTACAAACCCGATTCCACCGATAATTATTTCACGCCAATTCCCGACTATTCGCGGGTCTCTATAAGGGTTAATTACGTGAACTCGGGTCGGGGGAACAGCTGCGAATAAATTATGATTACCGCGATCGAAAGGTGCAGGCGACGCAGGGCTTAGCGGCGGATGGCATCATTGTCGCGAGTAGGTTCGACAGTGATCGAGTCGCGCGCCGGGGCCGACTAAGCCTTTAATTGCTTCATTAATCAACGTCCCGGCTTTCGCTTTCGCGAGGCTGCGCCACGCGTGTGTCGTCCTGTTTCGCAGTTATAACGCTACTGTCCCGGTACCGTTAACTTATTCGCTGACTTAACGGTCTGCCAAACTGTTCGCGCGGTTAGGCGAACCATGTTCTCGTCTTTTAGCTGGCGCGGTGCACGCCGTCGAACGTTTCCCCGGCGAAATAAATAATGGACGTCCTAAGGTCGCGATTGGCTGGCTGGGGAAACGCGCTTCTGCAAGAACCCTTAAACGGGGTGAATTTAAATATATAATATAAATTTGGTACCAGTATAATATAATATAATAAATATAATATTTCTGCAAGATATATATTATATTAATATTGTAATATTAATATTCTGTTATATTTATTATAATATAATAAATATAATATTTCTACAAGAACCCTTAACCGCGGGGGTGAATTTAAATATATAATACAAATTTGGTACCAGTATAATATAATATAATAAATATAATATTTCTACAAGAACCCTTAACCGCGGGGGTGAATTTAAATATATAATACAAATTTGGTACCAGTATAATATAATATAATAAATATAATATTTCTACAAGAACCCTTAACCGCGGGGGTGAATGTAAATATATAATATAAATTTGGTACCAATATAATATAATACAATAAATATAATATAATATAATAAATATAAATATGGTAAACAAAGACTACCACGGCAAACCGGTTAAAAACGGCGCAGCGACGTCGGCGATTTACGAACGAAAATTCAGCCCGCGGTTTCGCGTGGTTTCGCGACACCCGTTGGTTGATGGCTCGGGTCCAGGGGTGTCGAAATGATCGCGGAACAGCCGTTCGCTGCCGGAACATCCGTGGAGGAAGGAATTCGAGAGAAGCTAGGCGAGCGAGGAAGAAATTTGCGCGGCGCATACGCGGCGAGTCTCGCAAGGTAACTGTGTTCATCTTACCTGACGCCGAAGGCAATTCCCAGGGCGACGATCAGCGGCAGCAGCGTCGAGATACAGGCTAGAAAAACGGTCTGTATATCTGAGAAACCGGCGAGTATACCTGGAAAACGCAAGGGCCGTGTTAGAAGCCGTATTTAGCCGGAAACGTCGCGCTCTGCCGTGCACGAACGTGTCATGATCGTGCGCGACTAACTTCGTTCGGATGTTCGAAAGAAGCGTCGAAACCTTTCTCAGCCGGCAGAAGGCTCGAAGAGCACCCTGAACAGCCGCTCGAGTCATCGTCGTCGTGCCGATCGATGCCGCAGATCGCGATAAACAAACCGTACGAACCGGCGCGCCGATACGCTGCGAGTCGACGACACGCGTCTGCGAAAATTTCTCCGCGAGGCCGACGACGACGATGACGCCCGTCGAAAAGTAGCGATCAACCCTCCGTCGAGTCGGCTTTCAGCTAACTTGATCGATGAATCCTTCTTTCAGCTAACCTACGACAACGGCTATGCATCGGGGAGAGGATCCCGCGTCGCTTTCGACGACGACGACGATGACGATCTGATCGGCGCGGAGAGGACGAACGCGAAATGAGCGAGTGTTTCGAGGGGAAGGGTTGCACCGGAGAGGGACAATGGATGGATTATCATTACTGGCAGCTGGCTGGCCTGTACAGGAAGGCGACCTGCTTGTGGAAGAAGGACGGCCGGCATTACCTGGACAGCGATCGCAGGTACCGCGCCTACCAGAAGATTCAGGAGGCCATGGGGGTGCCCGGATTGACCTTGGTGGGGGTCGTTCTGAAGATCCGCGAGATGCGCCGGATGTACGTCCAGGAGCTGAAGAGGCTGCTGGACAGGGAACTGTGCGGCTGCTGTCACGATCCATCGATCGCCTGGTTTTACGATCTCCATCGATTTCTCTACCCCTATCTGGATTACGACGAGGCGGTCGAGCTGCACGTTCGTATCGATTTTTATTGCCGCGAAATTTTCGCGATGTTCGGCACGTTTCGCGGGAGAGGAGGGAGGGGGGGGGGACAACGCACACCCCGTGGTCGAAACCAGCGAATCGCCGTTTCACATTGTACACGTGCGGTTCATATATGGCCTATGCTTAATCCCGCGTGCTCTTCGACACGTTATCCGGCGAACGTCGACTCGAAAAATTTCAACGATACCGAAGTCATTTAATTACCATGACCGATACTGGAACTGTTCAAATTTGCCGCGGGAAATATTGGTTTCGCTCGTCGGTATTTGAAATATTCTCGTAACGTTCGGTTTGTTCAATATATTTCCGTTATGTGCTCGGATTAAAAAAGACTGGGGAACGCGATTTTCTTTTTGTTCGTTCCTCGTCGTTTCACTCTGTGTCGCTATTTTTCCCGAAAATTTGTTTACGATTTGTTCCGCGGACTAGCTGTTCTGTGATCGCGAAAAAATTGAAGATGTTTCGTCGAATTTTTAAAGAATTATTTCATTAGATAATGTTGTATAATCGTTATTTAGTAATATTATTATTAATTATTATTATATTATATTATATATAATATATATATTATATTATTATATTATAGTATATTATATATATATATATATTATATTATATTATTATTATAATTAATATTATTATTATCGTGATTCCTCTGATACCCTTTATGTAATAAAATAATTAATATATAATAATGTAATAATGTAATAATATAATAATATAATAATTATTTTATTATATAAAAGGCATCAGAGGAATAACTAAACATCTGCAATCATGAAACATCGTTGAATTAAAACATTGACAGAAAATATAAATCCCTCAATTATCTTATTAATTAAACGCACGTTTCTCATTTTCAATGGCTTCTGATCAATTAACGACTAAAGCATTAAAGCGACGATCTAAAGCATTTACAGAAAATCGAAATAGTTCAGTTTTCTCGTTAACTCGAAATCATGTTCCTCATTTTCTCTCCGGACGTCTAATAAATGAAATCTGTACACACCGCGAATTAATTCCGTAAAATCTAAACGTTCGGGCATTTAGTGAAGATTTTCGTTACAAGATCCGAAAATTACGACGGTAATACACGCGAAAGCGTGAATTTCGTTACTCGTGTACCCCGGGACTTTCTCTACACGTGTACACGTATATTACGATCTTGTATTTCGATACACGTGTAACCCGCGAGTCTCGATACCCCGTATACCCGTGTATGAAAGAGTACCCCGATTAAAGCACGGGCACATTAACTACACGTGTGCAACCACCGGCAAAGAGTATAAGTTACCGGGACCTACAAAAGCGGATTTTTTTTTATATCTCAAAATATCCAGGTTCGGATGAGAACGTTGGAGGACCAGAGTCGTTCCGAGGAAAATGCGAAATTAAAAAGGAAGCATTTTTGTCGCAGCGTGCGGTGAACCTGGTCCCGTTAACATTAAAACAAAATTCAAGTCGTTTAGCCCAGTTTCCACGCGTTCGCGGACGCGAATGCTTATAGCGTTTTCACCGTGTCGCGAAATGACACGAATGCCGTAACATTGACATTTATTATAAACCGCGTTATCGTGCATTTCATTCTGTACAACGGCCATTCGTTGAAATTATTATGCACTTTAATGTAACGGTTAAATGGTACGTTTACCATTTAACCATATTATTTTGTCTTTTCTTTCGCCTTTTCGACACGTGACCGATGAAAATTTGACTACCGCGATTAACTTCGGTAATTAATTCAAATCACCTGTCTATTTATGCAGCTCGTTAATCCTTTGACTGCGACGTACCCTCGGATAGAACAATTTAGAAAATAAGCCCCGACATTGCATCATGCATGCGGGCGATCGTATTAGCGATCCAGAATGATCGGTAATAACCAGTCAATTAATAAATTGATCGCGGATTTTATGCGTTTATAGCAAAATTAGGTAAATGAAGCACGGAACAACGAAGGCGTCGGTAGAAATTAAGAGCCCTCTCACGCTATTTTTAATCTGTCGAAACTATTGTTGTTTAATTCTTGTTCTGCAGAATCGATGTAGACAATTTTTTGCATAAAGATCCGCAGTCCAATTACCAGCTAATTACACGTACACTCGACTGATATCTGAATTCAATTTTCTCGAAGACAAAGGCATCCCACGCAATTTCGTCGTTCCTGATTTCCGTTTTATTTCCAGCCGCAGAATCCACCTGACCCAATTAGCAGCATGAATTACAAACCACCCCGTATACAGTGTGTTCCGTAATTATGTTAACACCGTGAAAGGGCGATTCCTGAGGTCATTCGAAGTAACTTTTTCCTTAACGAAAATACAATCCGCGGCTTCGTTCACGAGTTATCGACGAAAAACAGTGACCAATGAGAGACGCGCTCGGCCAGCGAGGGGCGGCCGAGCCAACGATCGCGCGAAGCACGCCGATTGGCTCGGCTGCCTCGCGTCAGCAGATTTCGCCCCTCATTGGTCGCCGTTTTTCTTAAATAACTCGTAAACGAAGCGACGGATAGCATTTTCGCAAAGGAAAAAGTTGCTTCAAATGACCTCGGGAACACCCCGCTTCCATCTACTTACCATAATCACGAAAAACCCTGCGTACGGCGTTCACAGTCAAACAGTTAAACCGTTTACAGTCCGCGAACGTGTTAAAAAAAAGGTAACCGCGTTTCAAAGGATGCTCGAACACTTTTTGCCGGGGGTTAGTATCCCCGGCGCGCGTGGGAAGTCAGCGGCTCGAGTCGAAAGGTTGCCGGAGGATCGAAGGTTTCGACCACGGCGGAGCTCTGGCTCCCCTAGCCCGGAGTTAGCGCAGTTTTCTAATCCGTTCGCGGGGGGAGGGCGGAGGAGGGAGTTGGTACACAGATACGGCGGCTCGTAAAGCGTATCCAGCGACGCGGCAGACAGGGTAGAATGTTCGGGGGCTAGCTTAACGGCAGCGCCGCCGAAACGGCGATGTACGAGCGCGTTTGGCTCGGCGCCCCGTGCACAAAAGCGGCGCGCAAAGCCCCGCCCGTAAATATTTAAAAATAGATTTCCTATTCCGCGCAATTTCCGCGCTATTATCCCCCCGACCTTCGAGGATTTACGGGCCGCCGTTAAATCCGATTCCCCGCGGCCCGCAGAACGTCGCTCGGCCCGCTCATGCTGCTGCCGCTGCTGCTATTGCTGCTGATCCGAGGGAAACGGACGACCGGGATCCTGACCGGGATTCGGAGGATCGCTACCACTCCGACTGCCCTCTGAAGAGGCGGGACAGGCTCTGCGACGGACGTTACCCAGCTCCCATGCATTCGATCAGCTCCCCGGCGGTCTCCTTGCCGGAGGTCAAGGCCCAGCCTGGGACGTGTCCCCGCTCGCGCGTCGACGCCAGCTCCGAGAGGAGAACGGTCAGACGTCGTTCCGTCGGCGTCGACGTCGTCGTCGGCGGCGGCGGCGGCTCGAGTTCCTGCTGCGAAAGATCGTGCCACAGGATCCTGTCTGCCAGCGACGCGTCGACCGGGACCCGACAGGTTGATCGATACGGCCACCCGGCTGAATTACCCCTTTCGCTCCGGATTCAATCCGAAACGGACGCTGCTCCGACAAGTCCGAGGGGACTGCTCCTCCGCCGTTGCCACGGCGGTCTCCGTGGAACGAAAGGGTTAATTGCGCCGGCTCGACCGCCCTCCGAAGCGTCTCTGTAGCTTCTCTGGTCGCCGCCGCAGGAACGATGCCGCGAGTTCAGGATCCAGGGACTGTCCGGGACGAGCAGCAACACCTGCGAGACGGACTCGTCGGACGAGTCGTTCTCGACGATCGTCGGCCGGTGTCTGAGCAAGCTGGACCGACCGTTCGCGATCCGAGCGAAGATGGAGATCCTGAGGCTGCTGAGGAGCCTCATGGAGGAGTCGAAGAAGTTCGCGGAACCGTGAGGAGACCGGGTCAAGGGATTCGAACGACAGGTGAACAGTATTCGGCGCGAATAATTCAGCGCGCTCGCGGCCGAAAATAACCTGCTCGATCGCTCCAGGCCCCGAATTACCCCGTGGACTCTTCCGAAAACTGTGCCAGCGGCGCGGGACGGGCGAACGGAGGGTGCCGTTTCTGTTGTCACTCCGCGAGCGACGCTCATAAATATTGCGACAGAGAGAGAGAGAGAGCCGTGTCTGTGCAGCAGCCGGCTATTGCGAGCAGCCAGCACCGACCAGCGTATGAATATCTAACGACAAAAACGCTTCAATCGGCGCGACGTCGCGCGCCGGGGCTGAATTTAGCCGTACATCACGCGACGGTGGCCGCGCGCGGATATCGTATCGATCCGGCTTTGGTAGACCGCAGCGTTGCGATTAGTATTCCGCCGGTGTCGCAGTCAGCCGGCTACGAACAAGGACGAAGACGGGAAGATTTCGCCCGGGCGCGCAAAACCGGGGGATGCGAGCCAGCCTGCGAGCCCGATAACGGGTTATCCACGTCGATCGAAACCCCATCCCGCAAAAGGCGCACGTCCGAGACGTTATTAGCGCGTGACTCTCGTACACGCCGGCAAAATCGCGCTAATTCTTCACGCGGCCGACCGATGAGCCGGCAATTAGCCGATAACATCTCGCGTACACGAGCCGAGCCACCCTTAGAAGCATGTCTTGCAGCGACTTAGGGTGGCGGAGCCGGTGACTGCACGGTGACCAATTGATAATTTCGGCCGTGATTATGGTTATTTTTATGGAACAGGGGATGCTAAATCTTTTCATTATTGTATACTTTCCGGCGTAATTGAATTTATTTCTTGTCGAATAAGGGATATTAAAGCTTTTTGTTCTTGTATTATTTCCAGCGTAATTCAAGATATTTTTATCGAGTAAGGAATATTAAATCTTTTCATTATCGCATTCTTTCCGGCGTAATTCGATTTATTTTTATCGAGTAAGGAATATTAAATCTTTTCGTTATCGTATTCTTTCCGGCGTAATTCAATTTATCTTTATCGAATAAGGGACATCGAATCTTCTCATTCTCGTATCCTTTTTATTTCTTATGAATACGGCCTCGTTCGATAAATGTGAAGTCAATTATGCCGGGAAACAAATTAAAGTCGCAACAATTGACCGTCCCACTTGTTACACCCTGTTTATGGAATGAAACGTATTAAATTTTTCCATTAAAAATTCAGCAGAATGAAAGAATAAAAAATCTTCACACGTCTCGTTCGATAAATGTAAAGTCAATTACGCCCGAAAACAAACCAATGCCGCAACAATTGGTCGCCCCACTTATCACACCCCATTTATGGAACAAAACATATTAAACATTTTCATTAAAAAGTGAACAAAATAAAATAATATACAATAAAAACAAAATAGGGATATAAAGTCAATTACGTCCGAGAAACGAACGAAAGGCACAGCAATCGGTCACCCCCCACTTATTACACCCCATTTATGAAACAAGACATATTAAACATTTCCATTAAAAAGTGAACAAAATAAAATAATATACAATAAAAACAAAGTAGAGAAATAAAGTCAATTACGTCCGAGAAACGAACGAAAGGCACAGCGATCGGTCGCCCCACTTATCACACCCCATTTACGAAACGAGACACACTAACTTCGTTTATTCAGAAGAAAACAAGATACAAGAGCAATCAAACGTGACTCGTCTTATCCGATAAGCATAAAAATTTAATGAAAAACGCTGGACAACAAATCACGGAAAACAGATCGAAGGGATAGCAATTGCTCACCCCAATGGCACAGCAATTGCTAACCGGCTCCGCTCCCCCATCGATAATCTCGCAGAAGAATCGCGGAATTACGTGTCGCGAAGAAGCGTGCAATTATCAAATTGGAAATCGTAACGTTTGTACGAGCAACAAATGGCCCGTCGTCGACTGGATCTCTCGCGGAACGAATAAAACCGAGTCGCGGGGAACGGAAACTTGTGCCTCGCGCGGAAACTGAGCGAGTCGTAAACAAGGGCTGCGATGCTTCATGAGAAACGAAGCGCCGTTTGTTCGAAGAGCGCAAGAAACTCGAGACGAGATTTCGAGCTTTCGACCCTTCGAACGACGGGAGATTCATGGGAACGACTGTCGACGGGTGCGGATATTTTTTTGCGACCGGAGGAACAAGTCGGGAAAACGTTGCAGTAATAAATACGGCGAACCGGGGAGGATTAAGCGGCGCCGGGGGATGGTTTCGCGCGTCGCTACCGGAAGGGAAACGAGGGTAAATCTGGGAAATCCGTAGATGTAGCTTGTCGCGACATCGGGAAAAGGACGTGGGAAGGGATGAGACGGGGGCCACGTTTAGACCAATTCCCGAAATCCTCTGCCGATGCCCGGCGAAACGGAGAGAGGCTCGGAGCCTCCGGATAGGTTGGCCGGCCGTAGGCATGTCCCGAGCCACGGGAAATCGATCGGAGGGGCATAAACGTCGTCGTCGCTGGGCAAAAAAAAGGCTGAACAGAGGCTGAATTGTTTCGCGCGGCGCGCTGCAAACTCGATGGCAGCGCGGTTCGCCGCCGGCGCAAACTGTAAAACTGTTTTCGAATCGACGAAACGGCTCGCCGCTTCCACCGAAAAGCAAGCCCAGGCTCCGACCCGGCCAGGCGTCATCGCGCGGTTCCAATGCTATTTTTGCCGGTGGCTGTCCTGCTGGGATACGTCGACCGAAAATCGGGGCCAGGAAGGTAGCAGAATCCGCGAGAAGAAGGACGGCCCTTTCGCTTTTGCGTGCTCGATGTAGTTGACAGTCGGGTAAAGTCGACGATCGCGACGTTCGACCTTCGTTTTCCTAGGGAATTTAGGGCATGGACGGGGCTCTTGGAACACCCGAGGGTGTGGGAAAATCGCGATTAGATTGCGGAAGCTATAGGAGTCTACTTTCGCTAGTGGAAGAGGCGACCCTCCGAACACCTGTGACAACGTTATTTCGCGCGCGGAAATCGCAACTGCAGAATTCGTTCGAGGAAATCTACGTTTGCCGGGGAATTCGGTGAACGAGCATCTGCGACAAAGACCGCTGCTAAAAAGCCGCAACCAGATCGAAGAATCCAGCGGATGATTAAAGAGTCTACTTCTGCTGAGAGAAACTCGTGGAATGAATAGCTGTGCGAACGTCTGAGGCAAAGTGCGCGGAAATTCTAGATTGCAGAGTCTACCAGAAGATGAAAAGGTTGACTCCTGCTAAGAAATTCATGGAACGAACGGAGCCCTTCGAATTCATAAGAGAGGATTCGCAAAAAAGCACAAGCAGATTGAAAGAACCAGGAAAAGACTGAAAAGTCTACTGTCGCTAAGAAATTCAGAGAACGAATCACTCGTCGACTGTCCGTGACAAGATGTGCAAAAATCGCAACTGGATTGCAGAATCCGTTTAGAAGCAGAGGAAGTCTACTTTTGCGAAGAAATTCAGAGAACGGATAGCTCGTCGAGCATCTGGGACAAGATCGAAGAATCCTGCAGAAGATTAAAGAGTCTGCTTCTGCTGAGAGAAACTCGGGAAACGTCTGAGACGATGTGCGCGGAAATCGCGACTCGATTGCAGTGTCTACCGAAAGACGAAAAAATCTACTTTTGCTAAGAAATTCAAGGAAGGTATAACTGTTCAAATAACTGAGACAAGACAGGCGAAAATTGCAACTGGATCGAAGGATCCGCCAGAAGATTAAAGAGTCCGCTTTTCCCAGGAAATTCGAAGAGCTCTGTTCGCTCTTCGAATACACAAGATCCGCAAAAATCGCAAGCAAATTGAAGGATCGTGCACCAGAAGACGAGGCAAAACTAGAAAGAATCGCGACCAGATCGAATTAACCAACAGCAGATCAAAAGAGTCCGCTTCTGCTATTAAAGTCGACGAACGAACGGATCTGTTCGAGCATCCGGGACAAGGTGCGAGCGGTAAACGCGGCTAGATTGCATCGTCTGGCGGTAGCCGAAGAGATCCAGTTTTGCTAGGTAATCCGGCGCAGAGACCAAGGAAATATGTAGCCGGATATTCGAGATGATGGACGAGTGGCGTTTCCATGCGTGCAGGGCTTAATGCAGTCCCATTAGGGTCCGGGGGTTTGACCGGCGCAACACTTGTCAGCCTATCCTACGGCCTCTTATTACTTACTGTGATCGAGCTCGTCGTGTTCCACGAGGTATCCGGTCGTGTTGTAGATGTGATGGTCGGGCTTAGCGGTGCTGGTCACCGCGGCTCCGCCCGTTACTGTCGTGGACGGATTAGTGGGAATTGCTGTGCCAGCGCTGATCGCGGCTGCGACCGCGCTGGACGGCGACGAGGACATCGTTGATACGAGATTCATGGCGGTGCCGGTCGAGTTCTCGACCTTGGTCGCGTTCAGCTCGCTCGTCATCGCCGTCCTAGCTTCGCATATCACCGGAACGAAGATTCGTGGCTCTCCGGCGACCGCAACGCGCCGTTACTGCAATTCCGTGCTGATCCCAGGTGGAGCTAATTCGGGCTCATCGATCCTGGCCGGTTCGCCGGCGTTCGGGACAACTTCCAGATTCGGCTGGCGATTGATCGCGCTGGCTTAGACTCGTTCCACGAGCGGTATAACCTCGGTCCGGGATGCCGGGGACAGCCTCGAACAAGGTCGCAGATAGACCAGGAGTCGACTCGTCGCTTGGGACAGGGGCGCGGGACCGACGCGGGACCCGGGCTGCGCGCTTCGCATGTCTTCGGAGCTGATCCGTGGGCAATTAGCCGGCCCACTCAAGCCGGTGTCCTCGAAGACGGCCGCGTAATTGGATCCACGGGCATCTCCCTATCGGCGAACGGGGCTCCTCCGGCCGAGGTCGCGGCGCTCCGGAACCGCCTCGGCCCCGTAAACTCCTCTCGTTCGACCAAACTTCGCCGGCCCCGCTTTATCGGCCCCTTTTGGCCGGCGTGTTCGCGACCAAGACCGTTTCCGGCCGAGACCGCGCCGGTGTTAGCCGAGGTCGGAACCGATCCGGTACCGATCCCGTTCCGTGCCGCCGCCGAACGGGATCAAGCGACGAAGAAATTCCAGCGGCTGGGAAAATCCTCGTTCCACCTCGTCCGTGTTTCAGCCCCTCCCGACGGCCACGCGAGCCTCTCCTATTCTATTCTACTCCCGGCTCAATTTCACAGCGGCGTAGAAAACGATCCTGGCCGGTGTTCGTTAGCGGCGCGCCCCGTTGTCGCTCATTCTCGCCTCCCCGGAGAGCGGGCCGCTTTCTGCAACAGAAAAGAAAGGAGATATCGGTGTTTCCGCATCGGCCGTGTAATTTCATTTCCGACCGCCGGGCTGCTCGCAGTCGGACAACCAAGATTACTTTCGTCGCAGCCGCGAGGAACGTTAACCGACGGAATCAAGCGCGATTGCCAGCATCCCCCGGCCGCGGACGCTCTTCCGCAGGCTTCACGGTCGTTACCGGTACAAAACGCGCTCCGTGTGTCCCCGAGAAATCTTTTTTCGAGGCCATTTAACACGGCTCGTCAGCGACGGGCGACGCCTCGCGCCTTTCCGGAGGCGTCTCGCCGTTCGCCGTTTTCCTGGAAAACAGGATCACCGAGTATACAATAATGTCTTTCCAATTGACGCCCGGATTGCGCACGAAAATGGACAATTTGGGAAGAGGAGACACGATTATTCGAGCATTGCGGTTTGTTTTTATAGTTATAAATTGTCCACAATTATAAAAGTGAGCCGCAAGGCTCGTATAATCGTATCTACTCTTCCCAAATTATTCATTTTAGTGGACAATCTGAGCGTCAGTAAGGGAGACATTACTGTACACGGTCCGCGGGCACGACCAATGTAGGACGCGCGAAGAAATAATCTCGGAACGATCCGTGGGAACGATGGCAACGGCGCTATCAAATCCGTTTGTTTGGGGATTCAGGGGTCGCTCTAAATTCACGCGATTCGTCATCTATCGTCGCAGAGGCCGATACAGCCGACTCCATCGCGAGTCGGTGGCTCGATACGGAGGTGGAATCGAGTACAGCATACAATAAATTCTATCGAATCGATGCTCAGCTTGGAAACAAAAATGGAGAATTTTCGATCGTCCAGATCAATTACAATCTAAACAAATTGTACACTCATTCCATTGGAAAGTGCAGTAAATTCTGCCCGATTTTCCTATTCAGCTTCTAAACAAAAATGGACGATTTGGGGAGAGGGGAAGAGATTGTACGAGCCTTGCGGTTCGTTTTTATAGTTGACGATTGTCGATGATTATAAAAACGAGCCGTGAGGGTGGAACATCGCGGCCCATTTTGAAAATTCCTATCAGGCTTTTCTGGTGTTTTCGATACGCGCTACAATTTTAACCCATTCCCGATTCAAGAATTCCCCTTGCGAGCATCTTTTCGAACCCTGGAACTACTCGCCTTCCTAGTTCGATATCGATTTGTCCAGAATGAATGCATTTTCAGTATAATCGACGAGCCATTATTGCTTTCGGGTTGTAATCGAATCCCGTGAAACGAAACTTGGTTATTGAAATTGACTCGGGTTCGCGGGTGCGTATTGAACTCGATCCCGTCCCTACTCGACGGGCGCCGCGAGCGGAGAAATAATCACGGAACGGTTTATAGCGGCGATCGCGGCGCCGCGGTTCTCAAATTCATTTATCCAGAAACTGAAGGATTACTCCATCGGCCGGGCTTGTTTTGAGCCACGGCCTCTAAAAGCTTACAGATACGGGGATTTACGAGCCAGCCGGCGCATCAATCCTTTGTCTCCGAATCGGTCACAGTTTCCCCGAGCGTTTCTAGTCCTTCGGTGCCCGGACTCGATCTACAGTAATGTCTCTCTAATTGACAGATTTTGACCACAAGATTTGAAAATGAATTCTACTAGTCTCAGTAACTGGTCCAAAATTTTGCTATCGGCGGAGGTGGACCAGTTACTGAGACTAGTGGGATTGATTTCTGGACAGATGACAAAAATCTCGAAAATGAATTCTACTAGTCTCGGTAACTGGTCCAAAATTTTTCTATCGACCTAGGAGGACCAGTTACTGAGACTAGTAGAATTCATTTTCGGGACAGATCCCAAAAATCCCGAAAATGAATTCTACTAGTCTCAGTAACTGGTCCACCTAGGCCCATAGCAAAATTTTGGACCAGTTACTGAGACTAGTAGGATTGATTTCCGGACAGATTCCAAAAATCCCGAAAATGAATTCTACTAGTCTCAGTAACTGGTCCAAAATTTTGCTATCGGCGGAGGTGGACCAGTTACTGAGACTAGTAGAATTCATTTTCGAGACAGATCCCAAAAATCAGGAAAACGAATTCTACTAGTCTCAGTAACTGGTCCACCTCGGTCGATAGCAAAATTTGGGACCAGTTACTGAGACTAGTAGGATGGATTTCGGGATAGATTGGGATGCGAGTGTAGATCGATTTTTTGTAAATGTTATGTTTACTCTTGCTAAAAATATCCCGGTTCCGCCCATTGGCACGGCTGCCTCGCGCCAACCGATCTCGCCTCTCATTGGCCACCGTTTTTTCGTTAATATCTCGCAAACGATGCGGCAGATTGCATTTGCGCCAAGGAGAAAGTTACTTCAAATGATCTTCGGAATCTCTTATTTTCCGGAATTTCCCATTATTTCGGAGCACCCTGTACATCGTATAAACAGCATACGCTGTATATACAGTAATGTCTCTCTAACCGACGCTCAGATTGTCTACAAAAATGGACAATTTAGGCAGAGAAGATACAATTATCAAAACGCACCGCAAGGCTCGAACAATCGTATCTCCTCTTCCCAAATTATGCAATTTATTGGACAATCTGAGCGTCAGTAAGGGAGACATTACTGTAAATGGCCGCGAGCAGGCCGGGCTATCGCGGAACGAGGCTCCGATCGACGCCCGGCAGGGATTGATCCCTCGATTTCCATGGGCCATCCGTCCTCCATGAAGGCGACACTGATTCGCAATAGATCCAGCTCGGATTCGAGGCGGCCACGGTCGGCCAATTTCGTGATAGAACGGCGCCCTGCGCGCCGAGGCCGGCCGGGTTCGGAGAGGCTCGCGACGCCCACCGCCGGCCGCCTCGATAATTAAACTTGCTCGATAGTTAGCGCGGCATTGTACTCGGCTAACAATTTTCCGTGGCTCCGAGTAAATTGTTCATAAGCATGAGTTTCGAACGGAACGAACGCGCGCGTGCCGCGTGCGAGGATTCTGCTCGTTGGCCCACACGCGTCCACGGTTTTCCGGCCGCGCGCTCCTCTTTCTCTCTTTCTCTTTCCGCTTGGAACCCGCCGCGGCGGCATGGCGGCCAGCTCGGAGATTTCGGCTCGGTACAATGACCGCGATAAATCCTCGAACGGAAAACTCGTTCGCGCCCAGTCATTCAAACGAGATATATCGCGGCGCGCCGAAAACCCGAGGAAAGTCCGAGCGACGACGAATAAGCTACGGCGACCCAGATTTCCGCCTAACCATCGCCGCGCGCCGGCGCCGTTGCACACCGAACGCGGTGAAAAGTCATTTGACTAAAATATTGCTATAATAAAAGGTGAACACGGATGTACGGTTCGTCGGGAGTGTGGCCTCCGATTTGCCGTGATCCCTTTTATCGCTTATTAATTTCGGCGGCGAGCAGAGGGTCCCATCTCAAAATCGTCCGCGAGTAATATCGTCGTCTGTTATGTTTTTAAATTACACGACGACCAAATTTGCTGCGACTTTGCAAACGACTGCTACTTCTATTTATCGCGCTGCCACTTTTGTGCTCATTTTCTTTCTTAATTATACGAACGCAGCGACGGGATACAGCGTTCGTTACAGTCGCATTATACAGGATATTCCGAAAATGTCTTGCAATCCGGAATTAGGAGATTTCTCAGATCATTCGAAGTAACTTTTTCCTTAACGAAAATGCAATCCGCGGCTTCGTTTGCGAGTTATTAGCGAAAAACAGGGACCAATGAGAGGCGAGATCAGCTGACGCGAGACGGTCGAGCCAATCAGCATAACTTGGCTTCGCGCGCTCGTTGAGCGGGCCGCCTCGCGGCAGCCGAGCTCGCTTCTTATTGGCCAGTGTTTTTCGTTGATAACTCGCAAACGAAGCCGTGGATTGCGTTTTCGCTGAGGAAGAAGTTTCTTCGAATGACCTCAGGAATCTCCCACTTGCAGATTGCAAGACATTTTTGGGACACCCTCTGTAGACCGAAGACTATTGGAAACGCAACACAGTTTCTTCTGATTCTCAAAATTGAACCTGGAACGCTGTAAAACTGTGTAAAAATCGCGCGATTCGAGCCTTCGACTAGCGGGTGTTGTTCGTTTCGCGAGTGTCGTGCACGAGGTGTTTCATCGAAGGCGTTTGGTTCAAAGTGTTCGTTACCCGAACACACATCTACATCGTACAAAGATATTCGCAATGCACAAGAACGCGTATTTACATTGTACTTTGAGACACAAAATGTTTCCTCCACCGCGTTTGTCGCCGCGATCGCTCCAAACCGTGCGCCGTTCGGTCACCGACCGGGATATCCGAACGCGCGCAACACTGGAAACCGAATTGCGAACGGGGTTTTAAAAAAATATCTATTACGCCGGGTCAACAAAGGGCGCTCGGTCCAAAGGGGGAATCGTAAACGTTGCGTCCGAAACGAACGGGCCCGGTCGGAAAGGTTTCCACGGGCGGAGGAAAGTTTAAAAGCGCTGCTCGGAAGCCTGTTAGCTGGGACACGCGGTTTTAATTCGACCTTTAGTATCGATAATTGGTACTCGGCGGCCGGGCCGAGACGCTATTAACACGGGCCATCGACAGTTCGAACACGGCCCCGCATTAATTGGCGCAGCGCATTGAAACTGCGACTGCACTGCGGTCGCATCGAGGACACTCCTGCGAGAAGCCCCGGGCTCGTTCGTCGTGGTTGTCGCGCAGGATGCATCCGCTCCGGGCCCCCCGCAGCCCGACGACGTATAATGAACCCGAACGAGACGGAACGGGACGGAACGGAACGGGACGGAACGGGAGCGTACGAGCCAGCCGCGGCGCGCAACGGCGAAATTATTAATCGGATTGAAAAGCGATTCGACGAGTTTCGCGGAGCCGCGCCGAGGGAAGCTCTTCTTTTGTCGCGAACGGAATTCCTGAGCCTGGAGCTGCCGCCAGCCTGCTGCTCCCGGTTATAATTTATTAGACCCCTGCCGTGTGCCAGCTCATCGATTCGACGTAAGAACGACGGAGTAACGGTGAT